TTTTGTCCGCTTCGTAACACGCGTGGCCAGCCAATGCGTAAACAGTCCGACTGAGGCCGATCATGCGCGCGCTCTACTAACTGCGGCGCGAAGCTAGACTTCCTTGCGCGCACGGCGGAAGCTAGACTCTATATACGACGGAAGTTTACATTCCTAAGCGTCACTAATTAATCGTAATCGACGTACGTACGTACGCATATCCAACCCCTCGCGCTAATGCGCTCGGCAATCACGACCGTCCGTCGTCCAACTGCGCATGCTCCAGGATTACTATCCGAAAGGATTTCACATGCTGCCTGCCTGTCATAATGTATACGCTTGTGTGTAGCTCTGTGTACTCAAGGATCAGTCCAGAGAAGATGCCCTTCGTCATCGAAGAGAGAGGTAAAGAGAACATCGTGCCCGTGAGACTCCTGAGCAGAGAGAGGCTCGTCTGTATCAGCGTCGCTTGGAACGCCGTCTCTTATTCTTTATTACACGCTGCCTAGCTGTCATATAGATGCGAATTCGCTGGCATTCGCTGCACTCTTCGATACCTGACCGAGGCTGTATATATCTCTTTCCAATCTTCGTGGTTCTAAGGTTAAAGTTGTAAATAGGCTCGTGCAGATACGGTCATTGTGTGCTCGCTCCCGCTCGCGTCAGGATTAGCTACACGATGCCCTCGATACGCAATCTAGACAGCGAGAGAACTCTCCTCCATTGGACGGCATTCGCTGCGCTCTTCGGTGCCCGGTATATACCTCTAATTACTAATGTTCGTGGTTCCAAGGTGCAATAAATCGGCTCAGATGGCTCGTGCAGATACAGTTATTGTGTGCTCATTCCCGCTCGCATGCATTTGCATACTAGTATGGGCCATACAGGTAACAAAACGCCTTCGTCGCTCGCAATTTCGTTATGTTCCGCAAGTTTACTCTCGCCGCGCATGCGCAGCGAGAGTTCATGACTTGCTGTCCGTCTGTCCGTCCTTTAATACAGGCTACAAGGCGGCCTATACCAATGGTTTTTCTGAACTACGTCAAACTGAAAAATAAAATGGCGATTTTCCTGAAACGACTGCGAAAAACACTGATTGGCTGTGCCGTTTACTCGTAGCTCGCGGAGAGTCTGACACGAGCTAGCTACAGTAGTGCGGGAGTCGATGCACGCCCTCCGTTGAGACTTCTTGAGCCTCCAAGGAAAGCAGAGCAAGCACAGCAAGCACATCTTGTCGACTGTGCTAATTTGCTTGTGCATTTGCCATAACCTTCGAACGCAGTATTTTTGAGAAAATCGCCTGTTTTAGAATCTAGCCGAATATATTGGCATAGCTTATTCGCTGTCTCGTTGCGCCTGGTGGCAGAAAACGTGGTAACAGACACACACCGTCACAATACACACACACAAGTAATCTTCGGTGCGCATGCGCGTCGAAGGTTACAAGCGGGCATTACTCCGCCTGCTTGTGTATAAGCTTATACCTTGAGACACAAGAAGTCACATCGAAGGGCCTGTATCGACTCCCGCATGCTATCTACTAGTGAGTTAGCCCGTGTCAGACTCCTAGCGTGGAGATAAACGCGCATAGCCTACCTTTGACCAATTAGCTGTCCCGCGCATGCTCAGTGCACCGAGGTGGTGTAAAAACCGGAAGTGTGAACGCGGGTGCATTCCTTCGTGCAATTAACGGCGCATCTGTTCCGCTGAGTTTCTCGGGCTTGTCTTCATGAAATGTCATGAGCGACGCCATTCAAACAACTCTGCAGCGGTTCTATAGACCTATGCATGGAAGTTTGATGTTGCAGTCATTTCGCGTCATGCCTACAGAGCCCGCTGCGCGCGAGAGGTCCGACACAAGGGTGCGGTTAAAGCCATGGCTTTTGTGAGTCCATTAACCTATTAAAAGGTGCACGCTCCTTCACCCCGGCGGTGGCGCATGGTAGCTATTGTGGGCATTCAGGGGACACATACAGTAGCTATGCCACTACAATGAAGTAGAGTTACCTGATCATGTTGAAGATCCATTTTGATCTGCTCAAAGTATATCCACTGTAGGCGCTGCTCATCGCTAAGATTTCGATAATTTTTTCGAGCTTTTGAACCGAGCCATTTAGCAATGCCTGTAGAGTCGAATAGAATAGCAGTAGGAACACGATACGCGGCATCAATTGGTAACATTATCGGTGACTGATCGTTTTCACCAGGATGAATGTACGCAACTGAGCAGTTGGTTGTTCCAAAATCTATAGCCGCAATGTAACTTGACGCCAGGTTACATCTTGCATCCTTGCGAGGAACACGCTGCGCGACTCGGCATCCGTTGGAGGTAGTTTTTCTAGCATCACTAACTTTAGGATTGCTCGCCATACTTGTGTAATGTTGCCAATGCGATCGGGGTTGCCTTTTAAGCTACCGCCACGCCCTAACGCAATATAGGTAAGGGACAAAGATGGCTGAAAGGAAGACAGCACGCAAGGCTGTTTACGGTGCTTCATGTTATAATACGGTCTGACTTTCTAGCTGTAAACGCCGTTACTCTTACATTTTGCGCTGTAATATGATGTTAATTTTAACAAACTGAGCTTCTGTGGAGGCTGAATTGGAACGGCTTTCCTACAGGGCATGCAGTAGCTACTTCTAATCAGCCTGGGTGTATAGCGTTGGTTTACTATAACTGTATGTAACAAGCTACAGTGTTTTAACAGTTGACTTTCTTTTCAATAAAGTATAGTCCCCAGCAGCAGAGCAGCATGCCAAAAAGTCATATGAAACTCTAGAGGAAGAGTAAGTTACTTGGTAGCTACATTTATTATAGTTAGCAGAAGTGACCAAACTATGTAACCCGTCTTTGTGTATCTCACCATCAGTGATAAAGTTATGCAGTAACATTGGTTCATAGCTACATGCCATAAAACTTTAGGTTGAAAGAGATACGGAAAGATAGCCAAAAGAAAATCAATGATTTGGAGGATGAAAGATCACTGTAAGATAAAATTATTTCAGTGCAGTATTGAAAAGAAATTAAAAAACAGATTGCAGGGACATTTAACTACAAAAGAACGGTATTTAGCAGAAGAAAAGGAAAAAAACACTCGTCTAAGGTATACTGAATTCCTATACTTATTGTGCATTAGTCTTTGCGCTATTAATGTCTCAATCACAGGGAAGAAGTTGAAAAAGTGGAAAAGGAATTCGCGGAGTTTAAAAGGGAAAATGAACGTGAACGGTATACATAATGTGAACGTCAGCTTTGTTACCTTTTCAGTATATTCCCTTAGAAAAGGGCTAATACGTATCATTGTGTCAAACACCTGCACTATAATAGTCCAGTAGAGAGAATCAAGCGATTTATGTCACATCTCTTATGATTGAAGATTTGAAGCTGAAGCAGAAACAACAATGCTGGAGGAAACTTTTAAGTAAGGTTCTGATGCACTTTGGGGGGTTCCTTGGATTCCGCGGAACCCCCTTTTTGTCGTTTTTCACGCATGCGTTGCTGGCCTCGTGAACGTGCACGAGCACAGTTGAAAACGTTCTGGACAGCGGAACCCCCCTTTAAAAATCCTACATCCGCCACTGAATTATGTTGTAAACCTTGTTTTATGCTTATCGCAACAACTAAAATATGATTAGTTTTTGGCTAAACTATAATCCTCCCTGTTTCTCTGTGTGTTAGCTGTACACAGAATGACATGTATAATATATTTATAGAGAATGTGCGGCGACAAAGAAAGATGTTGAAGAAATATGTGCTAATTTGCTTTCAACCCAATACACAAGGTAGAGCGGGAGATTGTGAAAGTGGTAATGCACAGCTGAATGTTTATTAAATATTACAGTTTGAAGAAGGAGAAAGCTGAAATGAACGAAGAATTTCTAACCAATATGAGCGATGTTTTTTTGGAAAAATTAAAAGATCAACTAAGACAAAAGTGTGTTCCCCAAATAATTATTTACTCTTTGTATAATTAATTCTGTAGTGAACGGAGATGTCAAGAAGATGCAGAAGAGTGCAAACGTATTCGTAGTGGTTGGAGCAAGTTGCAAGCTGCATTAAACAGGTTTACTACTAAAACAACCTAGTAGGAACACATAGGGTAAACTAAACAGCATCAAGCAGCATTTCAGAAAGTTCCAAAGTGTTCAAGAGTTATTTCACTGTTGGGAAACCAATTTTACTGCATAATTTTACTACCTGTGCAGAATGATAAAAGTCCTTGACTATAGTCTGAAATGCTAAGGTGAAACTGGGGGTTTGACTCTTTTCCATATCTTCGTGGTTCTAATTCACAAAACTATTTTTGTACTATAATATTATTATACAAAAGCAACAGACACCCAATTTATTTTGCCCTAAGATAATCGTAAACGCTCTTCCTCAAGTCAATTGTTGTTTCAACAAACTACACACGCAACACACCTTTCACTGTTTATTGTTTATCCACTAAACTATGTATATAACCATTGGTAACACATAGTGCAGTATGCAAGGAGAATCAGTTTATTGCTGAAATTCAAAACAAGCAGCAGCATATTGAAAACCTTCAAAAGTACTGCAGGAGAACGTAAGACATAACACCCACTGTTAAGTATTGCCGAAGTCATTCACTTTCAGTGAAGCAGAACGTGCATCGATGGCTCAGAAGATAGCAGAGCTTGAGAAAGAGCTGCTAAAGCAGCAGACTACCCAAATCAAGTATGTAAGTTGTTCATTTGCACCAATGAGATCTATGGGGATATCTTTCCCAGCAAAAGATCATGTATGTTTCCGGAACCTGATATACATGAGGACTTGGATATTGAGTATGGGAAAGTAGTTACAAGTTTTGAGGTTTTAACACTGGTTGAGCGTAATTTTAAAGACAGTTTTGACGCAAAAGGCTTTCTCTGTGATATTTTTATGGTAAGTATTATTATACCATGCATTGTTTATCTGCTCACTTCTCATTATTAAAAGGATGCTTATAAATATTGCAAAGAATTTTTAAAGGAGATAGTTTGCAAAAATATCGATGAACTCTTTAAAGTACAGACATGTGAAACTCGGACCGATGATATGGAAGGCTTAAGCTATGCATTTGGGCAATTGCTTCAATACTCTGGAATAAAACTAGAGCTGATCACAACTCAAGCTGTTTCAGTTGTTAAAAAAAAGGTAAGCATTTCATAGTGTTAACGGTGTCTCATAGAAGCATTTTTGCAACTGGTAAGACAGTGCTGTAGTGAGAGAGACATTGGATTTTCACGGCAAGAGCTGCTGGGTAGCTACCACAAACAGTGTCTTAAGTAAAAGTTCCATTCCTTATTTTCAGATTTTCCCCAAACAATATTAAAAAAACTGTACTTTTCCTCTGAATAATCTGAGAAAACAAGGAACATTTCGACCAACAAACATAGAATTTGGCAAAGTTTTATAGTCAACATTGGAAGTCGGGGTTCACAAATTTTGTACTATCCATACTACAAGGGTAAAAAATTTGTGACCCCTGAACAGTTATGGATACAAATGTATGTTAGTATTATAGGAAAAAGTGGGCATCAATTGAAATGTTCACAAAATTGTCATCGGTTGTTCAAATTGGAAAAACAAAACTTTTACTTGAGACAGTGTATGTTTGTGGCATTAAGTATAATATATCTTGTTTTGTACTACCTTAAATACCCCAGGCACCAGAAAAGTATATTTATAGCCTCTGCCGTGTATGGTTAATAACTCAATCTATGTATTCCTCCACAGAGGCAATCAGGCCTCATGCATTCTAGCATTGCTTTGATGTTCTTTGGCACTGAACATCAGAAAATCTCCATTTCTGTAGGTTAAAGAATTGGCTCCAAAGCTGCCGAGATTTAAGAAAGCTACAGTTGAGCCGGCTATTGAAACACTGCCTCTTGATAAGTTTGTCAAGCTTGCATGGAAGTTTATAACTCAATCATGCCCAGTTATTGTTTCCATGCCACCGATGCTAGCGTTAAATGAAGAAATTCACAAGACATCATTTCATCACTGGGATGAAAAGAGGAGAGAGGAACGGCCACTAATTTATGCACAGCCCGTCGTCTATCGTAGCTTTCATGGTGAAGTACTGATAAAAGGTTTAGTTGGAAATTTCTGACTTGCTGTACCATTACTATGAGTTGTAATAATAATTATGTAGCCTACTATGTTGATATTGACAAAATTTATACCCATCGATGGACCACCCCCTTCATAATGATAACCTCCACACAGAATTGGGAGTGCTGACCTACTCACATGGATACTTAGCTATCCATTAGAGTAGAGATATCTGTTTATGCACCTGTGCATGTAACTATCACTGAACTACGCATAATCAGGTTACAGTGTGGGGGACACACCACCTTTGGGAGTTTTGTGTCTCATGGGACCACAGTTGCACTATACATGCACACACACACACTAGAGTAGTAGCAGTGTTGACAGAGTCATCACCCATGGGACCACAGTTGCACTATACATGCACACACACTTTGTAGTAGCAGTGGTGACAGAGTCATCACCCATGGGACCACAGTTCACTATACATGCACACACACTTTGTAGTAGCAGTGTTGACAGAGTCATCACCCATGGGACCACAGTTCACTATACATGCACACACACTTTGTAGTAGCAGTGTTGACAGAGTCATCATGCTTTTGTCCGGTGTGCGTTTATAAATTCTGGGTCTCTCCCATAGTGGCTATCAATGATGTTTTTGTTTTTTTATGGGTAATGGGTCGAAAGTAATATTGTATACATATACACACTGGCCGTAATGACTGTAAGCACTACTGCTAGTTTATATCAACAATTAGGAGTCTTGAAAACCGTTCGCAGAAGTAAACAAGGCACTGCGGGGAGAGCCTTATTGAAGCGCCGCAGGAGCAAACACAACTTTGCAGATGTTGCATCCATAAGTGGTAGAACTGAGAAATGCATGTGCTGATTTTGCGCGGTGGTAAGTCAGAGAGGTCAGTGTACCTACTAGAGGTCAGTCCACTTTACTAGGAGTTCAGTAATAGTCTACTTTACAAAGAGGTCAGTCCACTTTACTAGGAGTTCAGTAATCCACTTTAGTAAGAAGTCAGTCCACTTTACTTGGAGTTCAGTCTACTTAACTAAGAGGTCGCTCAGCGTACCTTACTAGTAGGTCGCCTGATGTTACTAAGACTGACCGGCGGCCCGAGTCCCGCAAGAAAGAACTAGTGGTAGATGAACACGGAGGTCATTTTTTTATTGCGTGTGTTACTTTAGCATTAGACATGATGAAACACACTAGCAATGCCATCCCTTCATCTTCCCCTCCATTCTCCTTCCTCCTCCTATCTTTTTCTCTATTACTTGCTCTTTCTCTCACTTATGTACGCCTGGAAAATGATCACGAAAATGCCATTATCGGAATCTCCGAATATTATCCAATCACTTAACCAGCCACGGACACATAAAATGTATCCAGAGCCTCAATAACTCCATAACAATTTACTAGGAACGCGCACGCGCATATTTTGCCTCGCGCCTGCCAGCCAATGCGTATCAGAGCGTCGGTAGACGCTCTATATAGGGATGACACGGGTGAAATCTCACGTG